AAAAAAAAAAAAAAAAAAAACACATCATAGTAAAACCAATACCTTCTCAGCTTCGCATCGAAGCTAAAACAAAAAAATATTTTATAGCCAAATCAATTAACATGAAAAACTGACAAAAAAATTCATTATCTAAAAATTTAGTCGATATATATATATATATATATATATATTTACACGCAAAAATGTTCCGAAACCCTTATTCGAAACGTGTGCGTGGACTAAAAATTAAGCAATTTAATTAATTTTTTATGATATCTCAGAAATATCTTTGGGCACGCAAAGTAATTTTCTCAGAAAAACGTTTTTTTCCTTGTCCTATAATAAGATATAAATGTAATAATTTGTAAAAATCTTACTTATCTACTTGATGTTGAAAATTATTTTCATCAATTTTTCGAGATATGTCAGAACATGGATTTGGACTTATATTACTAAAAATTTGATCTTTATTTTTACCATCACTTTGCTGTATGGTAGAATCATCTTCAACATCATCTTCTTCAATTTCACCTCCTTCACATTCATCTTCTTCTTCGCATTCACTTTCTTCTTCACATTCACCTTCTTCTAGACATTCTTCTTCGACATCTTCTTCGTTAATACTAGTGTTAACATCTTCATCTTCAAAAGTGGAAGTAGATGAATTAGACAAATCTTTTACATCTGAATCATGTCTCAGTTTTTGCACTTTCCTTCTAAAATTGTAGATCTTATACTTTATAATGAAGATAGTTGAATTTTTATTATTATATTATTATTAATACTAAATAAAGTTTTTGTAATAGAGTATTTTAATTACGTAACTAAATAAAACTTTTCTCAGAATAAAGTCATTTATGAATATTATATAGTTAAAATATTTCATATTCAAAAAGCTATTAAAAATACGTCTTATTGTTTTTATCAATTGTTTTAATTTTAAAAAAAGCTGTTACAATTTTAGTGACACAACTTGACCATATGGGGGCTCAAAATGTCTCAAGTGAAACCCGTTCAATTTTAAAATTACCACATTGTACATTTTGATGACTTTTTTAACAAAAATTTTAAATATTGACATTATTAAAAAATCTACGGGTACCCTAAACTTCAGGGTCCTCAATGACTCACCTTATCAACTTTCCCGCTAGTTTCAGGGAAACTGTACAATTATTTTTAAAAAAGTACGAAATTTAAGAAAACATGTTAAAAAAAAAAAAAAGTTACTGAAATTATAAAAATATCCGACTTTGATTACATGTTAAATTTTTTACTAAAAACAACTCTGTGGCATTAGAATTATTTTTATTGTACTTCTTATAATACAGTTGTTTTTTTTTTTTTTTTTTGAGAGAGAAATTAGGTAATAAAATAAATTGCATTTTAAAAAATTAATTTAAGTAAAAAAATGTCTAAGATTTTGAATAGTTTTGTTTAACTCCGTGAGGTTTGAGTATCCGACATTTAAAATCATTACTCTAATATTTAAATTTTTAATAAACTGTCATAAAACAAAATTTAGGCCAATCTATTTTGATATAGTTTTTTAGTTATTATTATTTTAATGTAATGTAAAAATTTGTATATATAGTTCATCCCAGAGTACTCTTTTACCATATTCTCACATGACAAAAATATTTTCTTAGTTAGTTATAGTATAAGTATTTTTTGATAAATATATCGCCCAGATGATAAAAAAAAGGTTAAAAACTATCATTTAAACGACAAATTATATTCACTGGGCGACATTTGTATCGCCTATTTTACTACCTTAAGAAACACACTGATTTATCCAATTGATAGTATAAACTCGATTTTGAATTGATAAAATAACAGGTTTATAATATAATTACAATCATTACCGTCAAAATACTACCATTCAAATTTTAATAGTTAACGATATCAATGCTCGTTAAATTAACGGGAAATTACTTTATAATATAGAACAATTTATATAATATTCAAAACATAAAATATATATAGGAGTAGATGTATTTTTAACACGTGTTTTAAAATCAAAACTTTATTTTTTACAATAAATAATCTAAGTCAAACGAAAATTGAAAAGGAAAATGTGTACCTTTAGTGTAATATGTACAATCAAAAAATAATTTTTCCTTACCTTTGCCTCTCCATCGTGTCAAGTGTATCAAGTTTTAATAACCATTCAATATATAATTATTAACAATTTTTATTGGTTCAATTACAAGTAAAATTTACTCGTTAGTGTATTCTAGATTTCAAAAATAAACAAAAAAAAATTACAAATAAATAAAGGCAGATGAATTTAAAAAATAAAAAATAAATTTTATTCTTAACTATTTATACCTTAAAGATTATTATAAACTGCAATTTTAGAGTAAAAACACTGATCTATAATTAAGGAAGTAAATTAATAATGGATAGCTCGTATCTTTGTTTAAGCTAGTATCATAAAACAAGCAACTTAAGTTTGTTGACATATATTATAGATCAAGCTTTTCGGGCCTACATCCATCACCACAGTACAAACGTGGGTACAATAATAATGTGACTTTATTTTAAATTATGTAAATCAAAATCAGTGTTACCACTGTATTTAAAAATGTCTAAGATTAAATTGTAGTTAAAACTCTTCGTTTAAGCAAGAATTTAAAATGATTTTTATTATTATT